TTAAAAATACCAATTTTTATTTTTTTATTTAAAAATTATTTAAGAATATCAATTTTCAACATTTTAATTAAAAAATACATTTGCGATATTAGCTTTACCATCTAATTAATTCTTAAATAAAAAAAGATAAAAACTAATATCCTTAAATAAAAAAAATTAAAAGTTAACATCTTAAATAAAAAAAATTAAAAATTGACATTTTTATTTAAAAATTAACAAATTAATATCTTTAAATAAAAAAGTGAAAAATTAAAATTTTTATTTGTACCTTTTTTTCCCGGTAAAACTATATAGGATCTTTTTTAATACTGCTAAATATAAAAGTATTAAGTCGTAAATATGAGAAAACAGTACAGTAGCTTTCATTTATACTCACATTTCAAAAGTGCTAGATTATTGGATTCATTATCCATTTTAGAAGGTTTAGGATTCTTAGAATTTATGGAGTGCATGTTATAAAAGTATAAAACTCATTTTCTTACTGAAACAAAAATAGAAAGTTGCTTGGACCGTCGTTTTGTTTGCACGCTAAACGGTCCACAAAAGGATCCTAATTAAATAAAATCAAACTATAAATTAAAATTTTAATTAACACCACTTTAGACAATTTAAAAGAAAAAATTGCTTAAAAGCAAATTTAAAAATGCTCCGCTAAACAGCCTCTCAGATAAGTTAACATATGATATGGGTATATGGATTTTTTTAACAACATAGGTTAAGGATGTACTAATTATATTTTTTAATAAATTTATATAGAAAAATATAAATATAATCATTATTTTTAACATTTGTGCTACAGCATCATTTAATTAGGTAGATGAAAAATTGTGAGTCAACTTTCTATTTTTTCTATGAAAAGTAAAGGTAAAAGGTGTCATTAACGTTAGAAAAACCCTAGATATGTTTACATTAGGGGTGTTTGTAACGTGGATTGAGTTGAATTTTAATATTTTTAAAACTAAACCAATTCAATCGTGGGTAATAAAAATTTTAAACTAATCCAATTTATTATAATATTATAACTAAACTAATATAATTTAAATAGAATCAGTGTGGTTCATTCAAATTAATCAACTTTTAATATTATTTTAAATTTATTTGATTAGA